ATATTATTAAATGTAATGTCAATTAATTTAATTATTTTCGATTGTTTTGGAAATATTTTTCTGAAATCGCTTATATGTTTTAAACAATCATACCCGTTTTTAAATTTCTTTTTCTTTTCATATAATTGCAATCTTTTCAACTGCATATTCTATATCTTCCTACTATGTTTCTGCTTTCAAAGATGTCATTGAAGAATAGATATGAAGTTTTTGAGCTCTAAATTGTGAAATTGTTTAATAATTAAATTCTGCATTGCATAAATAATCTGACATAATTTTATTTTCGTTTATTGAATATAAATTCCTATTTAATATGAGTTTTCCTTTTTTCTTCATTTTGATGATGATTTATTTATAATTAAGTTATTAATAAGTGATTCAAAATGAAATATAGTCTCACTTTTTTTTAAAAAAAAAAAGCTTTTGTAATTATTATTTATTTTACTTAAAGCGAAACAGTTCAGCTATTGTGCTAGTAAATAAAAGACATCGATTAGATTTTCTCTTCTATTTTAAAAATAACAAGAGAACCAATCACGCATATTGAATTCTTAAAAAGAAAACTATTTATCATAATTTATTACTTTATCTCTATTCATTTCTAAAACATTAATGTTAGCCATTTAAATTAGTAAAGTAAAAAACAAACCGTATGAAAAGATAAATTCAATTTTATGCTTGTAGGCATTACCTTAATTTAAAATAAACTAAATAGCTGTTATTTTGTAATGAAATCCATTAAATAATTGAAAGTATTTTTATTACTTTTCATTGAATAATTTATTTTTTCCGCAATTCGTGTTATTAAAAATGTATATCTTCAACGCTTTGCGCAGAATTATTATTATTTCTATAAATCAATATACGAGAAGACTAATACACGTGTTTATTTCAGCAATGAAGATTTTTTTATAAGCCATGTTCAAAATGTGTACAGAAATATATGCATATTATATTCAAAAATAGTGTTGTCTTAATTGATAAATATTTCTTTATTCGATCGTATTTAAAAGCACATTAATCTCTACAAAACATTAATATTTTTCACTTCAGCTAATAGTTCTAACTTCTCCAAAAGGGTACGCATTCACCATTGTTGCACACCTAAAAAAGGAAGTAAATAATTATGAATTAATAAAAATAAACTTGATCATATATTTGAAAAAAATTATTCTCCTCTATATTTACAAATGGAAAACTAGCGTTTTGAACAACATGTAATATTCAAAGAAAAAAAATCTTTTTTTTTATTGTTTATTTTTACAAGATTTCAAAAGTTGAATATAGCTCGAATAAAAACTAAATCTTTTTCAGTCACATTTATATCATTTCATTGATGATAAACAGTGCTAAACAATGAATTTGGAAATGAAAATTATCGGGAGCATTGGTGATTTGTGTTATATCATCTACAGCAACGCACAAATAATCTCTATGATGCAAGGTTTGAATCAAAGCATAATTATAAAGAAATACCATTACTAACAACAGTGGGATTATTTTGTAAACAGTGGGATTTTAAAATATCGTTTATTCATTAAAAAATTACAGTTCCTGCAGACATGCAGTTAAAAATATTGTTCAAATATGAAAAATACTGGAATCGGTTACCACAATGGCAAAGTCTTTCGTTCTCTCAAACCTTGCTGCACGTCAGGAGCACACAAATTGAATATATCTACCTTAAGCAATTTTTGTCAGCTAACACTATTGAAGATGTGTAATTTAAATCTAAACACATCCAACATCAAACTCTCGCGCTTTCACGCCACACGAGATTTATTACAAGTTCCGAAAACATCATTTTTGGCGCATTGAAATTCAAAGAATGCCAAGTAGAATATTCCAGTATCTTATTTACAACCTGGATTCATAGTGTGTTGCTGTTTTATCATAGTGTGTTTCTGTTATTCATCAACGGAAACAAAATTTTGCCATTTCAAAATGTATGCATATTTTTAGTTGTATAATAAAGATAAATATATGTATATATATATATATATCTTTTTAAATCTCTTAGAACTGTATTAACTGTTTTTTTAGACATTATTTCTCTACTCTTCAGCTCTGCTAAACATCTTATAAATTCGTCCTGAGATTCTCTCTACACTAAGCATATTTACAAATTAATTTTTTTTAAAGAATTAGTGTATATATATGCTAAACTAATGACTCTCATTTCAAATTCTATAGTAAAAATATTTTTACCTACTCTCATATGTATCGTATCACACTGTAATTTTATTTTATTTTATAACCGTCGTTGAACAGCTGATCCAATATCGCACTGTAATTTTATTTTATTTTATAACCGTCGTTGAACAGCCGACCCAATTTCATGGGTTTACGACTACTAACGTTCAACTCAGTAGCATTGTAATTNATTGTCGCGTTATATCATTAGCTGTCTATATTTACAAATTAATTTTATTTTAAGAATTAGTGTATATATATGCTAAACTAATGATTCTTATTTTAAATTCGATTGTAAATATATTTTTACTGACTCTCATATGTATCGTATCACACTGTAATTTTATTTTATTTTATAACCGTCATTGAACAGCTGACCCAATATCACACTGTAATTATAAATTTTAGAGTTAATGTAACAAAAATAGCTGCGGCTCAGTTGTACCCGTTTTCGGAAGCCGGGGTAGCCTTATTGGTATGGCGCTGAACTCACATTCATGAGAACAGGGGTTCGAATCTAGCAGGCCGAAGACTCCCTGTGTAATAAATGGTGACTTGTGCACGTTAAATCTGTCGGGTCACAAAGTTCTCTATGTTCCCATATCAAATTATACCTCTTAGGGTACTGAATTCGAAATTGATCGTTTTCTGATTCAGGACAAAATAACGATCTTTGGATGAATTAATGGATATATGGATGAGTCCTATCTATAAATGGGTGTGACGTATGTATGTTTCAGAAGTCGAATTCTTGGTCAGAGATGGAGCCACTGGAAAACGAGAGCAATCGCACCCTCAAAGCCTTATTGGCCTACGACAATAACAGCCATTGAGGTACACTAATTTTTTTTTGCAGAGTGAAACTAAATTATCTGGCAGAAACTAATCAAACATATTTACTAATTTTTATATTTTAGTTCATTAAAATTATGCTGAAGTTTGCTTGAATCATATTTAAAAACATTTTTTTAATTTGAAAAACTTTTAGTCAACATTTCCATCTTTTAAAATTTAAAAATCAATATCCCTAAGAGAATGTTTTGGAACAGAAAATCAATTATGAAAATGAAAAATATTTCATCCTTAATATCTTGTTCTATTGCTTCTTCCCGTATCACTATTAAATATGGAGAAATAAACTAAAACAATATTCTGAGTCAATATTGTTTTTGTAATTCAAATAAATTCGAACAAAGCGAATATTTATTTACAAAGTTTGGAAAAACTTTCTGATGAAGCACAATAACAATGCGCCTCGTTAAAAACAATTTCATTTTACAATTTTTAGTTCTCTCTACACATTTTTCGAACTCATATTATTTAAGATGGTTGTATATTTTTAAAGGAAAAACATTTAGCGCAGTGGTTTAGGAAGCAATCATTAAATTTTAAAAATGAAACCACGACTCAAAAATTGCATCTTTTATATTTTAGCATAAAATATTCTTTTACACACATATTTAAATATGTTTATTCGGAAAAATTGTTTTAGTTGAAGTTTTCTAAAATAATTTTTCTACCCTTATAATCCGAAAAATACAACAATATTTTAATCATAGCATAAACACACACAAAAAAAAAACAAATCTACTTTGAATATCAAATTATAATTTATCGATTTCTTTTATCCATGTCCTCAGAAAAAAGGTTTAAAATATACCCAAAAGCAAGTATGAAAATAATTATATAATTTCACACTATATGATATAAGTAATATGCTTAAGTCAAGTAAAGATTTATTTATAAATATTTGAATAGAAAGAATAAATAATCAGGAAAACTTATATGAGAAAAATTATGTGCTTACTTATGAGGAATTTATGAGGAATTATGAAGAAAAATTCAATTAAAATTCCTATTCTTTTTCAATTTTTATATGACTTTAAATAGAATAAAAAGTTTTATTAAAATTAAGCAAAAAAAATATTCAGTGTGTTAAATGAAACAGATAAAATGAAAAATTAAATTTTTATTGGGTTTCTGCTCATTTTGAAAAAATAAAAGGAAATGAAATTAATACTAACGCATATTAAAAGAAAAAGCAAAAAAACAGTTTTTGACGTTTTACAAAAGTAGAAAAATATTGATTAATATTAATATTTCATGAAACTTGTTGAGCTGGCACTCATCAAAATTTTAAAATGATCACATCGAAACTTAAAACATTAAAATATCATCATTTTCATCAATTTAGCGTGGGTTTTTTTTTGTAACTTTTATTACTTGTATTTTTCCTAATGGTCCGAATAACGGATTTATCAATTCCCATCGACATCCGTAAACCAGGATTTACTAAGTGAATAAAAGCAGAAGAACTTTAGATAAAAAGTACCCTATATTACTTATTATTTGCTATAGTAAGTGCCAAAAAATATATATTCAATTTACCCCAGAGGGACCAATTCCAACAAAATCGCAGCAAAGCGTTCCTTTTGGAGTTAGTAACACTTCTGGAGTTATTCCATTCTCATACAAGCAGTAAACATAGCAAGTTTTCCAAAATTTCTGCAGTAAAAAAAACATTTAGAATTATACAGATTAATATGTTGTAACAAATAGATAGGATTAATATGATCACCACAATGGTATCTTATTTTTGTATTCAAGGGAAATAAACCTCTTTCTTTATCTAATATATATTTATTAAAATAACATACAAATTTCTCATATGTTTACAAAATTCTAAACGATTTTAGTAAACATATGAATAACTTCCAAGTTTGGAGTAAAAGCCATTTGTGGTGATACCAACCCACACATACAACTTGTTTTATAAAAAGTATTTTGTTGCAGCAAATAGATATGGTATCTTATTTTTGTATTCAAAGGAAATAAACCTCTTTCTTTATCTAATATATATTTATTAAAATAACATACTTTTATAAAATTCTAAACGATTTTAGTAAACATATAAATAACTTCCAAATTCGGAGTAAGAGCCATTTGTGGTGATACCAACCCACACATACAACTTGTTTTATAAAAAGTATTTCGTTAAAGCAAATAGATATGGCATCTTATTTTTGTATTCAAGGGAAATAAACCTCTTTCTTTATCAGATATATATTTATTAAAAGAACATACTTTTACAAAATTCTAAACGATTTTAGTAAACATATGAATAACTTCCAAATTTGGAGTAAGAGCCATTTGTGGTGATACCAACCCACACATACAGCTTATTTTATAAAAAGTATTTCGTTAAAGCAAATAGGTATGGTATCTTACTTTTGTATTGAAGGGAAATAAACCTCTTTCTTTATCTAATATATATTTATTAAAATAACATACTTTTACAAAATTCTAAGCGATTTTAGTAAACGTCTCAATAACTTCCAAATTTAGAGTAAGAACCATTTGTGGCGATACCATACCGCACATACAACTTACTTTATAAAAAGCATTTTGTTAATGCAATTAGATCGTGACACAAATAGATATAGTATCTCATTTTTGCATTGAAGAAAGATAAAAGATTTTTTTTCTAATATTTATTTGTTGCGAGAAAAATGAGAAAACATATTTTTACAGAATTCCAAATGATTTTAGTAACTATCTGAATAACTTACAAATTTTACGTTTGATAGTGAACAGAATTGTTTAAAATTAAATAAGAGTTCATCTGAAATTAGTTATTACTTAGTTTCAATAACAAATAATTATTTGGTCTTTCACAAGTATTATTGCCTCATTTATAAATAATGCTTGCGTTATTTATAAATATGTCGCAGAAACATGGAAATAGACAAACGTAAGAAAAACAAAAACTCGAAAACTTTATGGACAAATGCTTAAAATCAATTTTAAAATTTTCTGGTCTTGTTAGATATCAAATGAAGATCTTGTCAAAAAAGAGCTATAATTAAAAGAATAGTAGTTTTAGATAGAAGTTCCAGATATCTTAAAAAGAAGTTAGAGCTAGCTTAGTCTTAGACTGTTCAAGGAAAAAGTAGCATCTGTTGCGTTTTCAAGAGCTCTAGATGGAAAAAGAACAAGAGAGTGCCTCGGCATATTTTTCAGCGCATGATTTTAGGTGTTGAGTTACAAATGTTAGAAAAATCTTTTTAGTAAAAAGCAAAATCTATTGCTAAGGACTTTGATAGATAAAAAAAAATATGCTTCATGCTTTAAGTGGCCCGAGTGCAACTGATGCTGCTCAGAATTCTTTAAAATATAACTTATTTAACCTAGAAAGGAAAGAAGAAGCATTATCTTTCCATTAATGGGAAAAACCTTTTGTTGCTGCCACAGAAATTTTGTAACAGTTAAAGAGTTTGTTACAGCCAACTATGTGTAATTTTAATGGAAGATTGTTTTTGTTGAGTTTAAAAAGTATCAATAAAAATTGAAATCTAATATCAAAATATCAAGCACAATCTTTAAAGGATAAAATTAAGATTTGTATACGAAATTGAAGTATGAAAGGTTATGTTTCGAGATTAAAGAAACGTAACATAATCAATTCTGAGAAAATTAGTGATAAAGTGATGATTCAGGGAATTATTTTATCGAAATCTAATATCTTTTAATAAATTGTTAAAGTTTAAAAGAGATAGCAGTAAGTTATGCGTGTATTAAAAAAAATTCGAAACTATATAACTTTTATTTTACCTTATACGTTTTTTCTAAATTTCGTCCGTTTGCGTGTTTTTTGCACAGTTCTTTTTCTTCATTTGAAGGGATTAATGGTTGATATTTTCCGAAATCAAACGCTTCTGCCATAACCTAAAGCAAAATATAAAATAACATGAAAGTAAAGCGTACAGCAACATCAAAGTGAAACGTAAATTTAATTTTTTTAACAAGTTATATCTTTGCAATCTGTCCACAATTTTATAAAAAGTAATTTTTTCGGAACTTTTTTTTCACATTCGCATGGAATAAATATATTCCTCAATGTTAGTGAATGGAGGAGAAAAATTTCTAAGACTTCTTTGTTAAGGATTTTTCTGTTTGAGTTTTAAGTTTTTGGCTTTAGGATTTTTCATTTGAATAGAATTTGCACAAAATATTTCGATTGAAAAATGCATAGTAACGTTTCAAACTCTGTCCGTATCTAAGCAGTATAAATATAAAAATATATTACTGTATTCTTTTTAGTTTTGTATAACAGTCTATGCTCTTAAACGAACCGCCATTGAATTATACTAATTTATAATTGTTTAATTAGATCATTAAAAAATTTATGTATGCAAATTAGTTAAAATATCATTCAAAATGAAGATGCACGAACAAATTTTAATGAAAAAAGTTCTAGATGTGTTTAAAATTTTGATAAGCAAGTATGTTTTTTTTGGGGAAAATTTACAAAAATTGTCTCTATTTGCCCCCCTTTTCTCACAATACAAGTCCTCAAAATAAAAGGGGCCAACAAACCATATTGTTATTTAGTCATGATCAACAATTAATAATATAAAATCGCTATTTGTAAGAACTCAAGCAATACTTAAGCAAAATAAAGTTTGCTAATATTCACTAGAATTTTAGCATACTTTCATGTTGCTAAAAGATTCGCAGCTAAAAATGTCAAGGAAATATAGGGCAAAATTAGAAAATTTTTCTACGATCAAGTTTCTAGTTCTGACATTTTTAACAGCTGTCACTTTTTCAAAAAATCAAAATTTTAAACGATTGAAAGAACTCTTAATATTATAAAGCGTTTATTTTGAAATATTTCTCTACAAATTAAAAACTTTACTAAATTTATTTTTTTAAATACAGAAATATTTAAAGAAACAAGGGTAAAATTATGTTATTTTTTAAATAAATTTAAATTTATTAAAAGAAAATAAAATCAATATGGGATGCAATTTCGATGAAGAAAGTGGCAATTAGCAGACAAATATTTTAATCGCTATTTATTATATTTTGTCGTCCTTTGAGTGACGATTGTTAATTTTGCCGTATACAAGGAAAAAGAATAATAAGTTTTATCTTATTTGTATAATCTCTTATATGTGATCTTATACGTAGATCTTATACGTTATATTTAAATTCAAAACTGACACAAAGACTCAAAATAATTCGGTAATTGATAAAAAAAATTTAAACAGACTAAGATTATTTATTTTTATTCAGATAATACTTACACATAAGACTAGAATAAGTATTGCTGACTGGGAGACCTGGTGCGACATATTTTGGGTGTGGTTGATACTTTGTTTAGACAAATATGGCTGAGCTTAAAATATTTAATGATAGCATTTACACCAACTTTCAAGCAGGAAATGAGCTGACCTTATACTAATGACCTTTACGCATGTTAATTTAAGAGAATTGATGATATTGATGATTGAAACACCAAACAGATACACTTTTAACACGCAAATATAAATAATAGATTTTTAAATTGACATATAATGGCTATAATTATACAAGTAAAGAGGTTGTCAAAATTTAAAACATTGTTTGTGAAAATAAAGTTTTTTTAAGTAGATTGTTCAGGCTTGTTACTGCTTTGTTGTTGCATTTGTTATCAAAATTGTATGCAAACTCAAAAGATAATGGTCTAAAATGTAATAAATTAATATAAGTTTTTCATTGTTTGACAAAAAAAACAAGCGATAAAATTTATCAAAAGCAAAAAAACAAGTTTCGGAAAGTTTTCGGCTTTCATCAACATAAAATTAAGAAAAGTTTAATATTTTAACTCGAAATTATTTATTTATCAATTTTTTACAGCACTTTTGTATTATTTTGATTGCAGCGATATTTAATGCCTGTTAGAGGATATTTTTCGAGTAGCCGGGCACAAGGAAATTTAACTATATTTTTTAATTTTATTTATTTTTTGTTAACTTTTATTTTGTTCAATGTTTAAAAATAAATAAAATAAAAAATATATACAAAATTTAAAGAAAAAGGTTAGCGAAAGTCTACATTTTTTGGTGACTATTAGCTTGCAACCGACTAACCAAAAATACCTGTTAGAGTTACGATTACCTATTTTTTAACTATTATATCATTCATATTTTATGTATGTTAAAAGAAACTTATTTTGCTATTTTATCTATTCTTGTTTAATTCTTATAAATGTGGAAAGCAACATTCATAACAACCTTCATCGAGAAATTAACTCCCAAATTCTAAATTGTAATGATAAAAACTTTATAATATTATAAAGTAACCCTCTTATCTGACCTTATTATGCAACATTTTATAATAATCATATTGAAACACCATTTAAATAGTAAATAAATTACATTTATTTTTATAGTGCATCTTATGTAAAATTCTGTACGGCCAACATATGCAATTAAAATAATTATTACAAAATATATTGTTTATTTGTATCTCGACTCGCCCTATTCAAGGGCACACGAGAGTAGAACATACATTCTACAATATCTAGTAGAACATACATATACAATAAAACATACATTAAGCATGCATAAAGCACAAAAATTACATCAGCAACAAGTAAAAATGGCTTATAAAATATAAAGTACATTGAAAATTTGGAAAAGAACAAATGAGAAGTTTACACAATAATAGAGCATTGGGTATTGGAGGAACAATGCGTTGGGAATATCAAAGATTGTATAAGACAATGACATAAGAAATCAATTCAGTTATTACAAAATATATATTACAAGTTGCAAATAAATACTAGGATCTGACTTTTCATGATATTGCTAAATTATCTTTTTGGAAAATAACTATAAATAATTTAGTAACCCAAAATAAATACGAAGAAAGAAAAAAAAGCAAACTTATATAATAATCGAGCAAAATTATAAGGTTTAAATTTTATAGTGATAGAACGGGGGAAGTAATCTATAGAACCACTTCTGTGTCATTATATAAAGAAAAACATATTTTTTAATTGAATACCTATTAATTTTGTTTTTTTTTATTAAATCTGTTTATCCTTAAAAATTATCAAAGCTAAACTTGATTGTGATCGTCTGTATACAAGTTTGCTCACTACTTAAATTTATAATATCTCAAATATCCAGTTGCCATACCAACGCAAAAAAACAACCGTTTACGTCACATAATATATAAAATTTTGACATTAAGATTACTTTTAAAAGAATTTATAACTCTTAATACCAAGTAATTGGTGCAGTATAACCAATTCTGGCTCAAGTGTCAATAAACTTCAGCTAATCAATCAACACTATGTGTCCTATTTGCCTTTTGTAATAATAAGAGAAATTGTAAGGGATTTAACTTGATGTTTTCGTGTTTTAAAGAGAGCTAATTTGTCAATACGTTTGTAATGTCTTTCTGTGAGAAAAGAGATCTTTAATTTGCTTCGAACAAACTAGATCCTTATAAGGTACCAGACTATTAGGTATAAGACTAAGGTATAACGGTACTAGACCTTATTAAGTAGGTATTAAGCATAATTAGTAGTCTCGGAATTACTATTTCGAATTTGATATTGTGCCATTCAAACTATGCAATTCAAAATCGATTTTTTAAATCGAACAATATTTGTTTTAAAACTCTCTTTATTACTTTAAATGCTTTTATTGATTTTATTATCATAAGAGAGACGTAAAGATGCATAAATGATTACATAGAACATCTCAAATTATGTGAACATTCATAACTTTGTTTTCAAATTTTCCCGAAATTTTTTAAATCTAAATTGAAAGACACTAATAATTTTCAAACATGATAAATCAAATTTATATTTGAAACTAAATATCACATTTAATAAATTAACGTTATACAGAAATAATCAGAAATACTGACTGAGCGTAAGAGACAGCTTCGATCATTATTTAGATCGAGGGCATTGACCGCTTAACAGTAGCAACATTATTTTATGTGATACTAAAATTGTCAGCCAACAAAGTGCTGCTAATTTACTGATTTAGATCAGCCTCAGAAATCCGAAAATTTGAAAGGCGATAGTAAGGGTTGACAAGCAGGGGGTAGAACATTAAATTAATATAAAAAACTGAGAATAATATAATCATAAGCCAAATATTTAAATTAGTTTCAATGAGTTCTGCTGTCATCTATAGTGGAAACTACAGAAATTTAGTTTTACTGAGTGATATAAATAATTAAAACCGTAATTGAATACTTTTAAAAATTGCTCAACTTCGACAGGTAATGCGTAGTAACTATTGCTAATTAATTAATTTAGTAATCCCAAGAAATTGAAGCAGAAATATATATTCTTTTTTTAAAAAGCTTCAATGACTTCCAAAAAGTATAAAGATGGAAGTAAGTGTATGTTTCATGCGGTCAAAAAAAGATAGGCACTCATTCTTACGACTTATAGTTATTGTACTTAGAATGTTATTCTTAAATCTGATTACCATAATCCTGTTGAGAATATGTTGGCCTCTGGCCCTTGCACTGTTTTAAAATATATCTTTACTCCTTCGCATTCTATTGTTGTTTGAAATAAAATTAAAGGTTCTTGCATTCTCTCGGACAACACTAAATGTAATGTTATTCCAATTATTTCAAATCAAACTCGTTTTTCTGACACCTCAAAAGTTCACAAATCTCAACTTGATTTTAAACTTATTGTATCTTAAATTGATAACACGTGCTAAGAACTTGCTCGCTACTTAGCTCATACTATCGCATTTCTAACTTCTAAAGATGTAAATACAGTTAAAAATTCCCCTGTTTTTGTTTCCCAACTAGTTCAACTTTCCAGTCTCAGCACTCACGATTTTTCTAGTTTTAGTTTTCACCTTTATTTACCATTTTTCGTTGGCAACTAAATATTTTATGTTTCAAAACATTTTCATTTTGCACATTTATTACACGCAAGTCTTGAAAATCGGCCCCTTTTTATTAGCCCTGGAAACATATCAACTTTAATTACCATCCTCATAATTTTTGGCAGCCAATTAAATTTTTAATAAATTTCTTTGAATTGAAGCTTTTAAACATTTTTCTTATCTTGTTAAAAGAGGATGCAACAAACAAATTCAGATTAGTTATTTCAATAAGAATTGCAGGAAATATAAAGAATTTAATCAGAAAAACTGCGAGAATGTTTTAAAATTATATTGCGAAAAAATATTTCACGAATCCACGCTGGAGGAGAAAAAGAAATATCTAGCGAAAATTATTACTATTTTTTGGTATTATTACTATTATTTGGTATCGGTGCTATATTATAAGCATAAACATGAATTAATTTTAGCATTAAAAATTTGCTAAGTTTAGCGATAAAAAGCATTATTTAACCCATTAGAAAATACTATAAACAGGCTGTCGCAGCTTTGATAATGCTTGAATGGTAGCATTGCCGCTGGTATAAATTAAATTCAGTATAATTAAAGCAAATAGTCTGAAAGTAAAATAAATGGTTTGAAGTCAAATAAGCAAGTTTAAAATTCGAACTAAATTAAATTAAAATTTGATGAATCGGTTATTTGATGGAATTTAATGCCACAAGAATTTAAAATGACTGCATTGCAATAATTCAAACGTTACACATTTTTTTTAAAGTTAAGAATATAGTTCTATTGTTTAGACAAACTTTATAAAAGTGTGATGCATAAAGTCATTGAACAAGGATTTAAGATCAGCATAAAAGCTGCGAAAAGGAGCATTCATTCAGCAGGTGAAAAAAAAGCAAATGCGAATTCGGAATTGCGCAGATTGACGAAAGAGGAACTGATTAGAACAAAGTTTATTTCTAAATGTCTGAACAGTATGCTGCCAATTAAAGCATTCTTAATAATAATACCGATGCTTTGGTAAAGGATTAAAATTGGTTGGTCTTTAATAAGAGGGGATATAAAATAAATAATACGATGTGAACGAGAAGAATTTCTAATCAGAGTAAATAAATGAGGAAAATCACGAAACATCGACATTTCATGTCGACGAATATCGACATTTCATGATTTTAAATTATACAGTAGTAACATTTGTTTAAATGCCGATGGCTCAAACTTGGATGGGAGATTACCATAAGGATTAAAAATTGCGGAGAAACCCACGTTCGGAGGCGTAATCTTACCCCGCTAGTGGTACCTCCCCTTAATGAACTGGTAGCTCTTGCTCATTTATTTATACAAATTTACTTATTGCTTTGTCTAATTTTGCGTTCTCCAACAATTATTATCAAAAACTGCATTCAAATAGAGCTTTATAATAATTTGATAATTTGGCGATCTTTGCGAACTTGTCCTGTTTGTCGCCAAATCACAGAAATTAGGATAAAACAGTCCTAACTGAACTTATTTCGAAACAATGTCGGAAAATATTTTAAAAACAAAAAACTAACTAAGAGATTAAGATTAAAAAAATTAATTAAACTAATTAAGATTAAAAAGTGCCAGTTCAAA